GGGGACGGAAACAAAGCCCTATGAGGAGAGACTGAAAGAACTTGGCATGTTTAGCCTTGAGAACAATAGACAGGGGAAATTATAATGCTCTACAAGTACTTCAAAGGCTGTCACAAAAAGGAAGGGCAGGCTCTTTTCTTGTTCATCTTGGAACACAGGACATAGAATGAGGGGCATGTCTTAGAGGATCAAAGTGTTGCACATCACCAGGGAAAGTTGGGTCAAGGCTTCAGCTACTGACACAGGACAACTCATCAGGGGTAACTAGCCATGGTGGGTTGTCATGATGTGTGACCTTCATCTGCTTCCTACAGGGTGGACTGTTTGTTTGTTTGTTTTTTGCAACAAGCCAACTTGAAAACCCGTGGCTTTTTCTAGTGGTTCTTCAGTGAGGATATTTTTGAGGCTCCAAATGTTTTTCTTTCTCAAAGTAGGAAATGAAAAGGGGTAGTAAGTGAAGCAGGGAGGAAGAGGCGACACAGGTTCTCCCATGAAGAACACCCTGAGATACCAGCTGGAGGACCAAGGGGGAGAACAAGCCACAGGGAGCCCAAGTGTCTCTTGAGCACACTGTGGGTTGCTTCTCCAACCACCCCCACTGCGTAGCTCATTCACAAGGTGACTTAGCAAGCTGCTACTCAGACATTCCCATGGATGAAAAACAATGAAGACATATATGAGCAGTGAAGGAACTAGCTGGGAGGCAGATTACATGACATCGCATGGTTTCTCAATTGCACAGGCAGCCAGAGTGCTGCAGCAAAAGAGTGGTTACTGCAGCCTGGAGTAACCAAAGTGACTTCCCTTTCTTCTTGGATACATTAAGATTAAACTGTAAACAAACAGAATGTGTTCAGGGCATTTCTTGCCAAGGGAGAATGAAACTCCAGGTACAGAATTCGATGGGAGGAAGATGTTGAGAGATAGAACTTGCTTATTTTTTCAAATATGCTTTCCATATTTCATGTGTTCATGGCATCGCCACAACAAAGATTAGAACTTGGTTCAGACAACACAAGAATCCCCAACACTTGTTATCATAGGTTGGTTGTTGTATCATGGGAACACAGCCCAGGTCACCAAGGCTGTTTGTTTGTTTTTGAGAGAGAAAACCCACCCTGGAAACCCACGTGCTGCTCTAGGGCTGTTGTTATTCACAGTAGCTTGCCTGCCGTGTCAGCCGAATCTGGACATAAGTCACCATGGATGAGCCACAAGAGCCAGAGAGCTGCCTGCTGCAAGTGGCAGAAATCCTTTGCTGCGCCTGATAAGCCGCTGCTGTGTGAGTGCCACTGAGAGCAGCTTCCAAAGTGCCCACATTGCCCTTGGGGGCACTCAAGTCCCTGGCAAGGGGCTGGGCTCTGTGTCACCTCCCTGAGGGGTGTGCACCCCACCTGCAAGGAGAAGAAGTGGACATCCTGGCTGGTGGCTGGAGAGGTCTTCTCTCAAGCCACCCGCAAGGATGGCCGGGATCTGCTCCTCCTGTCTGTCCTCCCGCTGCACTTCAAGGCACAGTTCCTGCTTGCACCGTGGGAACAAGGAAGATTTTGTTTTACAATTCTTTTTTGTCTCTGTTGCACAAACAAGACTTGTGTCCTGGGGTGCCAGGGGGTCAACTTCCAGCTTTGGCTGAGGCACCGTGCAGGGGACTGTCTACTGCAAGGGGGAGGTAGGTAGCCCCCTGCCTGTTATCCCGGCCAAAGCTGTTGTGCTTCTGGGCACAAGCTGTTTGTGCAACAGTGACTTTCTGACAGCTGCAGTGAAATGAAATCAGCTTGTGATTGTGGCTGTCAGAGAGGAGACTCAGTTCTTCCCACGGTGTAACCTAGGATGCTTCCTGAAGGAACATGGGGGAGGAAGGGTGCAAACTAGTGATGATGAAGCTGATTCTCTGTTGGGTTCATCATGAATGCTTCACAAAACAACAATTCACCAGTGGCTTCTTGCCAGGATGGATCGTTCTGTTGTGGGAACTCAGCCAGTGTCTAAACAACTGGTCAGAAGAGGAATTCTGTGGAATAGTGCATCTAGTCCAGCATCTTGTTTCCTGCAGAGGCCAAGCAGATGCCACCTGGGAAGCCCACAGGCAGGATATGTGGGCAACTGGCCTCACCTGTTGTTTCCCATGAATGGTCATTCATAGGCATCATGCCCCTGGCTCTGGAAGGAGCCACCAAGCCCTGGCATCTCTCTTGCTTTGCACCGGTTTCTGAAGATTGCCATGCCAGCCCTATGAGGTGCTTTCTGGAGGCACGTCAGGAACCCTTTAGGATCCTTGCCTGCTCTCAGCTTCCCCCTGTAATGTCCCTTTCTGCCCTGCCGTGCTCTGGAGCAAGCATAGCTGGGGAGCTTTCTCTGGCTGAGTGGTGGGTGTGCTGCCCTGCCAGCAGGTCTTCCACTCGTGGCATGGCATCTACACAGTGTCTTATGGCCCTTAGGCAGCTGGTTGCTGGCTACAGGATTGCATCTGGTCTGTTTGCATAATTGTCTGTGTATACATGGCTTCATTTGTGTTCTCATTGTGGCCAGAGGCAATGTTCTGATATACCCTTTCTTGCCTTCAGCAGTTTCACTGGCTCTGCTTGCTAACCTCTTCCTTTTGTACAGAATCATACTTCTTCTGATCTGTGGTATAGATTCTACCTGAGGTATTTTTGTGGTTTTGAATAACCCCCAAGCAGTATGGAGAAATGTGACTGTAGCGGCAGGCTCAGGTAACACAGGAAGACCAGAATGCCTTTCCACCTGCATGGTGCGACTTCCTGGCTGATACCAGGAATCAAACCATCAGGCATGGCAGAGGTCTTAAGGCACCTCTTGCCCCTTCGCCACTCGGTCCTCCCTCAGAAATTGCAGAAGTTGCCTTGGGGGCAGCAGGGATGTGACAGCGCCCACCCCGATGTGTGGATAAACCTTGCAAGCCGCAGGGAGGCTTGTTGGCACGATGCAGGTGGCTTGCTCGAGACCTCTTTGCCGAGCTGTTGCACGGTGCTGATCCTGCCTGGCGCTGCAGCTGCTGGATGGGGGTGCTGTGCAGGGCACGAGAAGAGTTCTGCTACAGCAGAGAAGCCCTCTCTGGTAGGATTGGTGGCGGCAGCCCCAGACTGGGGAGGAGCCGAGCTGCACTGTGCTCAGCCTGCAAGGACAAGCAGTGGGCGACCTATACCCTCGCAGACACCAGCCCTTCCTGCTGGTGGCTGTGGTAGCACAGGGAGCATCTGACAGCCGTCCTCAAGTGCCGCTGGGGCACTTGGGGCACGTGTCACCCAGCTGCTCACCCAGGACCCCCTGGCCGGAGCAGCACACTCTCTTCTGCCACACTTGCCAAGCAGCTCTGTAGCAGGTTTGGCCACCCCTGTGCTTGTAGTGTCATTCAGGTTTGGATGACACTTGTATTTCATTTCTGCGCCACCCAATAAGCAAAGCTCTCTAGGCAGTTAAGAACAATTTATACAGTGTAGTAAAATACAAAAGTACAATACAATCTATATCAATTAAAAATTAAAACAGTATTTTTTTACAATATTTTTTTACAGTATTACAAATGCAGGCATTTGTCTTCTATAGCAGTGCCTCTCAAAGTGCAGTTCTGGGCTTCCTTGTAAGGTCTCCAAGGATGGGAAGTAGATGCAATGGCTCACCCCTGATGGGGCAGGATTTTTCCCCGAAGCAGTGCCACTTTAAGCCTGAGAGTGGCTTAGAAACCCTACCACAAGCTGTGGATTCTTGGAGTGGCTTATAAACACTGACCTTGTAAGCATCTCCAAATAAGCTATGGAGGATTCAGACAGCATGCTAAACCATCGGAGCTTTCAAACCTAAGTGGTTTAATATGTCATGGGAACTCAGCCTCTCGATGTTCCTTTAGAACTTATTTTGAAGCACTTCCCTAATTTTTTAGGGAGTTTCCCCTTCTGAAGTCAAATGTGTGTTGGACTTGGCAATTATCTGGTCACCCATACCTTCAATTTGATAGCACTGTGCTCAGTGTTTCAAATTAGCCTAACAATGCATCTTACACAAGGTCCTAAATGCTGGTTAGGATTAAGTCAAATTCTCCCCTTTTCTGGCTGGTTCCATGACCAAATCTTCTAGGGCACAGTCTTTACCTGTTAGGATATCTGGAAATGTTACCAGTTTGTCATGTCTAGAACACACATTTATCCAGTAAATTAAGTTTATCCAATAATCATTGCTACATTTTTTCTTCAGGTGCTTCCATGATTTGTTTCCCCATCTTAATAGCATCTTATGCATTTTGGTCAGGTGTGTGTGTGATACTAAGCCCCTGCAATAACTTACTGGTATTGTGACCCACAGGGATGCTGTGGAAGGAACTGTCCCCTTGGGATTTTTCATCTGCTTCTTTGACATGTACAGTGACAACATCCTTGTCTTTTGTACAAAGATGACGTCCAGAGATAATCATATCCTACCAATTTTCTCTATTCTCATTTTCATGATGCATTTCTGTAGTATATATATATATCTAGGCTGTTCTCCTATAAAATCAAGCACTCTGTACTAACAGTAAAAGATAAATACTATGCAGTAACTATCCCAAAATGTCTTTGATGTGTGTGTCTTCTGCTCACATAACTGAATGCCACTCCATCTTGCACGCAGAAATTGAGCATGTTAGATAAAAACTTTGGCATGAACTCGTCTCTTTGACATCCAGGGGTTTTTTTTTTTAAATGTGTAGGGAATATGGTTGTGTATGGTGGAATATTCAGTCATGCACCCCCTCATTCATTCTCATGGCTCATCCCAGTCATGGGTTTACCATCTCTGTGAAATCTAATTGTATAATTATTAGCTCAGAAACATAAGTTCTGTGAGCATGGTGATTAATTTTAAATGAAGTAGGTGCTGGGTCCAAATAGGTTCTGAAGAGGTGACTGGACCCTGGTCTACCTTAGATCTTACCTGGGACATACATATGAATCTACTGATAATGAGTGCAGCCCACACCTAATCTAGTATCTTCCTCCCCCCAGAGCACCTTGGCCAAAGCGCTATATGACAACAAAGCCGAGTGTCCGGATGAGCTTGCCTTCCGCAGGGGAGATATCCTGACGGTGCTCGAGCAAAACCTCCTGGGGAGCGAGGGCTGGTGGAAATGTTCCCTCCATGGAAAGCAAGGCCTGGCCCCTGCCAATCGCCTCCAACTTCTTACTCCTTTCCAGACACCCTCCACCCTGCTTAACTCCCAAGGTCTGCCAACCAACCCACAGACTATCTACCAGGTTCCTTCAGCACACAAACTTCCTGCGCCATTACCCATCTATGAAAAAATGGATGGTTGGATCACGCCTCCTCCACCGTCTTCCTCCGCTTCTTCCCCGATCACACAAGAAGAGTGTAAAGCACCAGCTTTGGCTGCAAAACTGTTCAGTGAGAAGACCCAGAGTTCATCAAATCAGGTACAAGCGTAAGCGGCTCTTCAAACGGCAAAGGGACACTGAAAAACAGATGGGCACAAAGCATGGAGGTGCATGCTTTACACGTTTCCTGTACCCTCTCCCCTCTCTCTCTTTCACTCTCACACACACACCTGCATGCACATGCACACTGGTCTTAGAAGGAGGGTTTCCTTCCAGCTTTCCAACCGACCTCTAAACAAGCTCACAAATTCTGAAGAAAAAGCCGAACACCAAGTGGCTCTTCAGTTCAAAGTTTTCTGCCACAGCCTCCACCTTCTCTTCTTGTCCGCATCAATTTCCAGTGAAGGCCATGTGGCTCCGTGACAGCTGGATTGTCTTAGCAATCACAATGAGGCAGCCACAGCAGTCACTACTGGGCTGGTATACGTCAGCTGGCTTGTGTTCAAAGGATTCCTTGCTTTTTTTTTAAGAGGGATGTTTTATTTCCTCCACAGTCTAATACAATGATCTAGCATGTATCTCTCTAGGGAAAGGGCTAAATAATTTGGACCTCTGTATTGCTGAAAAGAGGATAGAGTGTGAGGGAGACTTAGACAAATTTATGAAGCTTATATCTCAAACAGCAAAAGCTGATGGCTACAATTGCACTTCCACAGGCAGTATCAGGTGCTGGAGACAAACAGACACTAGGGGTTGTCATCACCATCAGCTCAGCTTTCTAGAGGTCTTAGCTACTTATGGATAGAGAATGCTGAATGAGATGGAACACCATCAGATCTAGCATGGCAGTTCTCATGAGAACTGGTAAAAAGGAGTAATTACAGCTACTTTACTAGATTGCTAATGGGTACTTTGAAACAGGTAGTACATCTTTCAGATGTTAATCCTGAGAATGTGAAGTTTTTTGGGGTTACGTGATATACACATCACAGTTGTTGCTACAAAGAACAACTGTGTCATACTAATCTATCACACTGCGCTCCCCCCCCCCCCACAGAACATGGAGCTCAAACAGCCCAGCTGAATTCAAGAATAGAAACAGGGTAGATCCAACTCATATGGGGACAGCTGGAGGGCATGATCAGCTGTTCCCAGAGCAGCTGGTCAAAGCTGCCGCTCGTCTGTTGGAGGGTCTAATACAGAATCTGGCCAAGGAAACACAGCACCTCATCTTAATACATCTCTCTTAAATATTGCAGTGGTATTTTTTTTTCTGAGCAGGAGACAATGGACACACAACAAACAGGGGCATCCAGGTGATACTCAAAGCATGAGAAGTGGGTTGGCATCCACTGGCATCTCCAGCATCATCATACCGGCTCCAGCCTGATACCGGTATGTTGAGCAGGACATGTGAAAAGAGGCCACTACATCTCTGTGTAGAGAATGGGTCCCTTGACTATGCAGAGTTCTGGATAAGGAGAACTTGCAGAAGGACTTGTCAAAGGGGCTTATTTGCTAATCCGCCTAAGAACATAATAATCATAATAATCAGGCAGAGCAACAGTTCAAGGACTGTGCCACAAGTTGTGCTCACTGATGAAGCGGTTTCTCAGGAGCCCTGAACAGGGCTTTGCACACAGTTCTCCTCAGTCCACTCTTAGGAAGGGGAACTTAGGTTGGATGAAATCTCATGCTTAGATCTCACTGGGTGAGATCATCCTAAGGTCCTAAGAGCCAGTGTGGCGTAGTGGTTAAGAGCATGGGACTGGGACTCAGACGATCTGGGTTCTATTCCCCGCTCAGCCATGGAGCCACCTGGGTGACTTTGGGCCAGTCACAGACTCTCAGCTCAACCTACCTCACAGGGTTGTTGTTGTGGGATAAGACGGAGGAGGAGATGTAAGCTGCCTTGAGCCCTTTGTAGGAAAAAGGCAGGATATAAATCAATCAATCAATCAATCAATCAATAAGATCCTAAGATCACCCTAAGAACACCCAGTGAACTTACTGGCATTTGAACCCACATTTGTCCAGTCTTAGACACTTGGAGTGCTGAGAAATAAGAAATAAAGCTCAATGCATCCCAGATTTCTGAAGAAACTCTTCTGATGCTTTTTATGGGCTAGGGTTGCCTCGAGCTCCCACCTCAGTCTGCTGAACTGGAGGGATATCATGAATAGTGGTATTTTAGAGCAGCTGAGGGGTTTAGGAGAGTGCACGGCATCGCACTGTCTCTCCTTAATCAGCTGGCACCGATTGTCTACCAAAACCAGGCCTGGAATCAGAGTAATATGGATCAAGACATCCCTTCCATCCAGAATTCTGCTACAAAGGGAGGGCCCAACACAGGTACCACAGAAACTGCATTACGGAGTCTGCCTGGTTCCAAGAACCAGGTTGGTAACTTAATATAGGGCTGCCGTAGATAGACTGGGCTTTTCTGTTGCATTTGCCACTGAACTGCTACTTCCAACCACTTACTGCTTTGTGTTCTGAAACTGACCGACCCTTTTCAGTTCTGTACAGACCCAGACTGTGTGAGCTGAGGAGTGGAACTGGGAAACTCACACAGTGCTATACCACATTACTGGTCATGTTCAGGCTGGCTTAAAAACTGGGTTAAATGCAACAGGCTGAGCAAGTGCTGCTCTCCTAAAGGTACAAGGGGGCTGCAAAGAAGCCCAGCACCTGAGACTGCCGGATCTTTGGCCAGCAGTTCCCAAGGACCCAAGAGCCCAAGGAATTTTGGGGACTGAGAGACTAGCCTTGTTATTATGGCACTGGTGGCAACCATGACCAATTGCCTTTGTTGCTCCAGGCCTTGCACCCATAGCCAGGGTGTCTGTCAGCTCCAGGTCACCACACGCCGGAACAGAGGAATCAGATGAGACATGGCAACTGTCTAAGAGCCAGGTCTCCTTCCCAGGGTCAAATGCTGACTCTTTAGTGACCACTCCAGCATATTTAAACTAAAGCAATTGGCAGTAGGCTTTCTAGGAGCTCTGTTTAGTAAGCTGGGAGGCTTCCTAGTTTCTCTGGAACTGGGAACTTACTTGGATGCATTCTGTGCAGAACCCAAGACTGATTAGGGCTTTTGTTGTGATGTTCATGAACTGATTCTTGTCAAGGAACTACACTGTAATCTGTCACCTGTGGATTTTTTGAAACTATAAAGGCGTATGCCTAATTACTAAAATCATTATGATTAAAAGTTTTACTGAAACTGCTGCCTTGGCTTCAGGAAGTCAGGTTCCAATAGTATCCTCATTGCACCTGCATCCACAGGACATCTCCTGGTCTTTAGTATTTTGTATCCAGTATTTAGAACCAAGGTGGTGTCATGATTAGAGTATTGGACTTACGATTATTTTATTCTTTGAAGCCTTACGTACCCAACTTTTTATTAACCACACATTTCTCATTCTTTTGTACCTGACAAACCTTTTTGATCTGCCAGTCATTCAGTCAGGCAGTCAGATAACATGAGCAGCAAGAACAAATCAATGTGCCAAAACCCAACTGAGTTCCACACACAGTAATTTTGCACTTCGCTATCATATTTGGCAAAGACAAAACACAGAAATAATGGCAGTGGCTGAACCTGTGAAATGCTTGCAGAACCCTTACATTAATTTCAACCTTTCATTTTTCTTCCACCTCCTTGCCCTGCCCACCCCCCCACCCCCAGCACCTCTTCACTCTTCCCAGAGCGATGTTGGCATCTGCACCGGAGAGCAAATGTGATATATATGATGTCCCATCACCACAGCATCGTGTATCCCTGTTCACTCAGGTGAGTCCCTCCCCCCACCCCCTCCCCCCGGTGGATATGCCCAGCAATTAAGAGAAGCTAGCTCACTGAAAATCATTGCCAATCATTCTGTGTAGATTAGGGACGGGTAGAAAGAAAATCTCCAGATACTAGGGATTTCAGCTCCCAGCATTCCTGACTATTCATCCAGCTGGCATAAAGCAATGTACACTAGGGTGAAAGGACCCACCTTCTTGTATGTTTAGATGGTGGCGACTAAGAGATTTTGGTATTGTAGAGACAGCTGAATCTATTCTGGAGCTGCTGTTAAGGCAAATTCCACAGTGGGTATAATTAGAATACCTGAAATACAGTGTACATTTCTGCTCACTGCACCTTAAAAATATTAGCGTAGGGTTGGAAAAGGTGCAAAAAAGGGCAACCAAAATGATCAAAACTCCCTTATGACGAAATATTGGGTCAGGGACTGTTTGGTAAGGAAAGAGGTGACTACAGAGACACATGCTTAGAGGTGGGCAAAATTACACATGAAATGGATAGGGAAACATTTTTCTTCATCTTCCACAATTCTAGAACCTGGGGTTTTCCCACGGAACTGATTGGTGGGATATTCACAACAGTTACTTAAATCTTCACAGAATCAGTTGAACCTATGGAATTTGCTACCAGACAGAATTATGGTCACCAATTTAAAAGGAGATTAGACATATTCATGAGGCTATCAGTGACAGTAGTCCTGATGGTAATATGTCACCTCCAGTATTATACACAATAAGCCTATTTGTTTCAGTTGTTTGTGTGCTGCTTGCGGGCTTCCCACCAGCAGCTGGTTGGCCCTGCCACGGACAGAATGCTGGACAAGATAGTCCTTCAGTCTGATTCAGCAGGTCTCGTTTTTTTGAGGAATTTTATTTAGAGAATGAGCATGTCATGCTGCATCACTGCACTGAGTTTAAAAATTCATTTGAAGACAGATCTTTGCTGAGCCACTCTGCCATCTACTGTTCATCTTCCTTTAGTGCATCATTGGAATGGCTCCCTTTAGTCTTTGATATAGAACCGTATTTTTGTCAGCTGTTAATGTCACAAAGAGCCATGAAGGCCTGACCCACTTTGACACTGCTGAAGGTCCTGCTTAGACTAATGTGGAGGTTTTGATAGTCTCTTCCTACACACTTGCATGTTTATCTCTCCAGCCTTAAGGCATAGAGACAGCATGGCATAGAGAACAGAGTGCTGGACTGCAGTTCTGAAGATCCAGGCTCAAGTCCTCACTCAGAGTTGAAAGTCACTGGGTGCCTCTGGGCTAGCCACAGACTCTCTTCCTAGTCTACCTCACAGGTTCTTATGGGGAGAAAAGGGAGTAGAAAAGAACCTTGTAACCTGCTTTGGGATCCTTGCAGGAGGAAGAAAGGCAGGGCTTACATACAGAATAATAATACAAGAGCAAAGAAAAAGCAGACTCTAAAACCTTTCGTGTGAGATAATCCAGGGCTGCAGACCACTATGCCTATACACTGTGCTCACTTTCCCTGCCCAGCCAGGCATGGTCTCTGCAAATACAGATCTCTAGCTCAGTGAACGGGGTGCAGGGACCACCTGGTGTGGGAAGCACAGCAAACAGAAGGGCTGGCTTCTCCTATTTATTCCCCTGGCCTGGCCCATGGCACTGAAGATGCTACACCCTGTTCCATCCTGATCCCAAAACTTACCTGGAGCAATCACAGAGACAGAGAATGCAAGAGGTCCTCAGTACAGGGGTTCCTATTTCTCTTGTTCTGTTTTCATCTGGGGAGGCTCACAGGGACCCGATCAACTTCTGCTTTGCTGTGCACAGATGAAAGGAAATGTATAAATTATTTCCTTGCTGCTAAAAAGACTAATTTCTTTTTAAACATTTAATTAGGGTCTTGCCACTCCACCCTCTTCCAGAAAGGGCTCCTGTCCATTCCCCACCACAGAATGTTTCCTGGAAAATGCACAGCGGCTTTATGACATCCCACCAAACCCAGAAAAAGCAAGAGTTCACACATGGCAAGAGTGTCCTTTGGACAATGTAAGTGAAGTTCACATGGCAACTTGACATCTGTTGCTGGAGCTGGAGGTCTGGGTGGGAATCAGAATGGCAGCAAACAGAAGGGCAGGTTCCTGGCATTTCTATCCAACCTGACCAATCCAGAGACCCTTGCTGTCAGTCACAAGGGCTGATGTTACAGAGAGCGAGTGTGGTGTAAAACAGGTGCCAGCATGTTACCCTGGAAGACGAGCAGGTGAGTGAGCCCGATATTGCGGCTGATGTTAGTAGATCCTGTGAAGTGAATGTGGGGACAAAGTTGGCATCTGGGCTTGCTGCATGCCCTCGTCCCTAATTTGTGTTATGAGGCCTATTGCTGTTCTACATTAGGCTAGCCTATTTTAGGTTAGGCTGGACTAGCTTTGGGAAATCGACTTTTCTGATTTCTGCTCGTTCTTCCATGTCTAATTCTGCTGCTGCACCATTGCAGTGGCCTATGTGAAATCCTCTTGCTTTGCAAAAGGTTGCTCAGGTTGTTAGTAGGGCAGCCCACTTAGCATTAAAGATGGAGATAAGCCTCATAGAATCAGGATTTTGGCATTAGATGGGGATGGACATCCTCCAGACTTTGTGGAGCCACATGGCCCCTCACCCCCAAACCCACTGGAGGCCAGATCTCCACAACAGCTGCTGCTGAGACAAAAACAGCAGCATTTTCCTTGCAAACAAGGTCCATGCTCTTGCATGCCTTGTTCGCAAGGAAAATCACTGGGCTTTGTTTGCTTTGCTTTTGCCACTGCTGCACACCAAATTCAACAGTACAGGTGTGGGGATGCAGCCCACTGAGAACAGATGCAGCTTGTGTTTTACTCACTCCTCTGCAGATGACTTGACTTCTCTCCTTAGCACTGTTTTAATTGGAAAGGAAGTATATAAATTAAACCAGTGAATATTCCCAATTCTATATAATTTCTCAAACTCCTTGAAGGTGTCTGAAACATTCCACTGCTCTGCCTGGGGAGATCTGCCAAGCTGCATCTTTCTCAACCTTGGGACACACTTAAAAAAAAAACAATTTATAAAATAGCTTTTAAATGTTTAGTGCTCTGCATTTTGTTGTTATTTGAGTATTACAGCTTAAATTTTTAATGTAGGATTTGTTTTAATGTTATTTTGGTTGGATTAACTGTCCATGCGTAGTTTTGTTTTCTTCGTATTGTATGCTGCCTTAGGTACAAGCACTCTAGAAAAGCAACATATAAATGAAACAATAGCAATAACAATAACAATGTGCATTTTTGTGTGCTGCTATTCAGGTGTATGTCATCCCTGAAAGCTTCAGAGGAACCTCCCAGAGAAAACATCCAGGTCATTTCAAAACTTTACCAAACCTTCGGAAATCAGAATGGATTTATGATATACCTGTGTCACCTGAAAAAACAGAATTAAAACAAACTTCTCAGACTCATTCTGCAAATAAGCATGTGATTTATGATACTCCACCAGCTAGATTTGATTCTGGCATGCCGAAAATTCCATCATCAGATAACAAAGATAAATCAGCTGGTTCAGAAATATATGATGTTCCACCCATACAAAGGAAATGTACTTTTCCAGAGATTCCTCTTTATGATGTACCATCCACACATGATGTGTTGTTGCAGCATCAAAATGGTAACTATAACATTCCTTCAGCTGCTCTCTCCTGCAGGACTGAGAAGGAGAAACATCAAGAGAATCTTTATGATATTCCAAAAGGAATGCCTACTGCTTTGCTTCCAAAGAAAGAAAACACGGTTAGTAATTATTCCGGGGACAACATGTGTGTTTGTTCCCCACAGTCGTCCACAGATGGCAAAGTGGACCAAGACAGACTGTCTGTCTCAAGTGTGGACAGCAGAACCAGCAGCATTTCAACATTGTCAAGCTCTTCCACTGAGTCCTTTTCATCTACAGTGTCATCATCTACTCCACCTTCATCTTCAGAAGAACCCAGTAAAGAAACAACCATGGACCTTGAGTCGGCCATAGAAACTTTGACTAAGTTACAGCATAGCGTGTCCAGTTCAATTGCAAGCCTAATGATCTTTGTCAGCAGCAGGTGGCGACACCAGGAACATCTGGAGGGAAACATTGAGGAAATCCATCGAGCGGTTGATCACATAAAGGTCTCTTTGGGAGAATTCTTGGACTTTGCTCGAACCATTGAAGGAAATGCATCTTGGAGCTCTGACAGTAAGCTTCAGAAGAGATTTAAAAAACAGCTGGATATCCTCACTGACTCATTTCAGATACTGGTGGAAACTAGAGATGCATTGAACAACTGCAAATGGTCACTTAAGGTTCTGGTTATTAAGAAGCCTCAGAGCAATCCAGATGACCTGGATCGGTTTGTTATGGTGGCTCGTACCATCCCAGATGATATCAAGAGATTTGTATCCATCATCGTAGCTAACGGGAAGCTACTTTTCAGAAAGAATGGCAAAGAGAAAGATGCCAAAGCTCGGATTGCTGGTGCAGAGCATAATATGACAAAGTGCACTGTGGAACAGAAAGTAGAAGACAGTTCTCTTCTGAAAAATAGTTTGGATAAACCAAAAGAAGATAGCCCAAATTTGGAGAAGGCAATAGCTAACATCACCAAGGACTGTGATCATATCCAGGTACAGGTCAATGAACCTAAAGATTATAGCAGGGGTGGGCAACCTTTTTGAACTCAGAGTCTATATCCTCATGGTCTATAGAACTGGAGGTAGGAGTGACTAAAGCCAAAAGTAGGAAGGAAAATCCCCTTTTCTCTGGCTCTGCCACTGTCCTTTTAATCTCTTTTTCGCTTCTTTCCCTCTCTCTCCCTCCCTCCTTACCCTCATTTTCCTTTTCATCATCTATTCTCTTTCTCCCTTGCCCTCATTCATATCTACACATATCATATACACACACAAAAGCAGATACCACATTATTCAACTGCCTATGTCTTTCCATTGTTTCTCTACCTCATCTCACTCTTTCTCTCACACACATAGATAAAAAATACAACCATATTAAATTTTTATATGGTTCTCATCCTATTTCCTCAGGAAGTTCTGATGGTACACCAAGATAATACAAGAAGAAAAAAAAATTACAGGTAGTTTGGTTCCCAGTTCAGTTCCCATCTATCTCCGGGTTTAGACACCATGCTAACACACATCTGATGCTTGAGTGTGTGTGTGTGTTATGGCTGTTCCAGGAGTAGTTGTTGAAATGTAGGTTACCATGTTGTCTCAACCCAACCAAGACAACAAATCAAGGTGAACAACTTACAGTTCACAGCCTAACAAGAAATCATGGGTTCTCTCGATGGGATGTCTTTGGTTAAGAAGCCATGGCTTATAGCACAGTTGGGTTCAAACAACACAGTAAGCCATGTTTCAGCAACAACCCACAGTTACTTTTTTTTTTTTTTTAGGCCCTGCTTAAAATGCTCCTATCCTCCAAATCTAGCAATTTATTAATAGTTGTTTGATTTATGGGATTTATACCTACCCTTCAATAAACTTTCGGGGGCAATGCACAAAATTTAAAAAATACACACAAAAACCCCAATTATAAAACACACAAAATATACCCCCCAAAAGCAGCATAAAAAGAAAAATCCAATGGTAGTAAAGCATATTAGCTCAAAAGGCCCTGAGAAAATAAAAATAATTTTCATTTGGCACCAGCACTATCAGTATAGGTGCTAAGTGTGCCTTTCTAAGAAGAGCATTCCGTTATCAGGATGCTTCCATTGAGAAGGTCCTTTCCCCAGTAACTTCCCATGCACTACTGTAGCTTGGACATTACAGGAACCCACAGAAGGGCATCTGATGCACATCTTAATGTATGGATAAGTACATGTCACAACTGCACTTGGAGTGTTGTATGCTGTATTTCTCATGCATAACCCCTACAGCAATTATAATTTCAAAACATATTTAGGATATTTTGGTTTGGATACTTTCCAAATATACAACTGGATTCCTCTAATAATTTAGGGAATCCCAATTTCAAGGTATTGCCACCTGCTGCTGACAAAGATCTTGAAACATCACTTAGATGTTTCTAAGATAAATATAAATATAAATAAAAAAATATATAAAACACCCTCTTGAGAACAGACCCCAGTGATTCCATTGGGATCAAAGCTTAGAAATGAGAAGAGAGCTGGAAATGAATTGACTGTTCTAGAAGCAAAATGTCCATAATCAGAAGCTCACAATCTTCCACTGTTTAAGGACTGTGGCCTCCATTTAGGCAGAATGTTCTACTGACGTCTTTTTCCCCCACTTTGTAGAAGCCATTAGAATCGAAACAAGCACAACTATCTCTTTCACCTACCCAGGCACAGAAGAGTACAGAGTTTAAAATAAAGGTAAATTATTTGTTACTACAAGGCTCTAAAGCAATTTGCCTAATTCTTGAAAAAAACACCTTCTTCATAGCATAAGGGCTGCAACAGTTAGTTGGTTTGAGAGCAATCCTATAGACCTGGGGACACACCCCTAACACTGTAACACTGACCAGAACACCTTGGATAATAGGGGAGGATGGGCCCTTCAGTCAAACAACTGTGAAGGACAACACATCCTCCATCCCTGTCTTAGACTAAGCTCTGATTTTGACTTTTTGTCCGTCTGTCCATCTGTCCTTCTGAACCATCCTCCTGCCCTCTTCCAGGCACCATGGAGGTTTCTCCAAGTAGCTCCTTTTACAAGTGGAACCTCAAGCCCAAATCTAATTGTTTTGGGTTCCCTTGGCTGCCTCTCAACTGCTGGTCATTTGGTGATTTCCTGGTTTTGTGCAGCTTCTGTCTATAATAATCAGTTGAAATGCATCTCCTAAGGTTTACTTACTGAAATGTATGCTTTACACTCAAATAAGCTAGTTTTGCCCTCCTCCTTCTGTCCTATATCCCTATCCACCACTGAAATACAGCCTCTGAAAGATCCCCAGGAACAGAAAACAGAAGAGAAAACCCTACTTCCCCTCTGATATCCATACTGCCTGCAAAAATCTACCAGGACTCGGATATTGGGAGCTCCAGTTTCCTACCTTAATCTTTGACCTACTCCCTTAATCTTTTAGGTCAAATGATTGAAAATAATGTGATTAATTAAAATTGTGCGCCCTCTTAACCAGGCTGCATATTTTAAGAGGCTTTATTAGTATATTTGTAATGCATGTACTTACAAAAACTGAATATGACAAATGCTATGTTTCAAAGAATTGTTCATTCTTATATGGGAAAAGGAGGAATACTGCTTCTTTTGCCAGCATAATCATGCATAATCTAAACCCAAATAAATTATAGTTTTCATTGGCAAATTTCACTACTAATCAATGATTGATCAACTAGCAAAATCAAATAATCATTTGATAAATTTCATTAATTGGTGACATTTCTTTTTAAAACATGTGCTGTTGGGTTGTCTCTGACTTATGCCAATCCTATGAATGAAAGTCCTCCAAAACAGCCTGTCCTTGACAGCTTTGCTCAGCTCCACACAAGGCTGTGGCTTCCTTTATGGAATTAATCCATCTCAAATTTTCCTCCTCTTCTTCTGCCTATGACTTTTCCTAGCATGATTGTCTTCTCTACTGAGTCTGGCCATCTCGTGAGGTACCCAAAGTACGACAGCCTCAGTTTTGTCATTTTTGCTTCTAGGGAAAATTCTGTCCTGATTTGCTTTAAGACCCACTTGTTCATCTTTCTATCTGTCCAGGGTATTGTCAAACCTCTCCTTCAGCACTATGCTTCGAACACCTTCATCTTCTTGCTTTACTATCCAGGTTTCCACCCATCCATAGTAATCAGAAATACAATACAGTCGATGAGTTTGGCTTGGTTCACAGTGAAACATCCCAACATTTGATGTTCCCTTCTAGTTCCTTCATTGTTGCCCTTCCAAGTATTAGTCTTCTAATTTCTTGGCTGCAGTCTCCCTCTGAATTGATGACTGAGCCAAGGTATGTAAAATCTTTCAAAATTTCAATTTCTTCATTGTTGGCACTAAAGTTCTATAATTCTGTAACCATGAGTTTTGTTTTCTTAATATTCAGCTGCCATCTGCTTTTGCAATTTCTTCTTTCACTTCCATTAGTCTTTTCAATTCATTTCTGCTTTCTGTCAATAATATGGTATCATCTGCATAACTTTAATTATTCATGTATTAGTTTTCACTCGTTCCTCTGATCCTCATCCAGCTTTCCTTACAGTACGTTCTATGTACAGTTTGAACAGATAGGGAGATTTTAAAAAAAATCTCGTCTGATGTGCTATCCTATAGCCTATTCTGTTTCTCCACATTCTGTCCTAATAATAACTTCTTAACCACAATACAAGTTACACATCAGGACAATCAAGTGCTGAGGCACAGCCATTTCTTTCAGGACCAACCATAGCTTCTCAAGGCATAGTCAAAAGGCTTGCTGTTAAACCACAGGCTGCTCTTCTTTTAAGCTTCTGAAATATCTGTGTGCTCTACTAGCCAATGTGTATTTGTGATACAATCTCAGGTGCCTCTTCCTTTTCAGAATCCAGGTTGCGTATCAGGCATTTCGTTTTCCATATAGGGTGATGTTCTTTGTAGTGCATCACCCGGGCATCACCTTGCTTGCATGGGAAATGTCTGCACTCTCTTGCATCTCTTTTCTTGGAATTTGGAATGTATATACTAAAGGTTTCCAGTCTGTGGTCCCTGGTTTTGTTTTCCGTATGTGTTAGCATAATATTGTTAGGATTTGGACAGAATCAGTCTCTGCAGCTTGAATTAGTTCTATGGGTATCTTATCTATGGCAGGTTCTTTATTCCTTCCAAGTGCTTTCAAAGTAGCTTTCACTTCATTTTCTAATATTGCAGGTTCTTCCTCGTAGGATTGCTCTAAGTCATCCTTTCATTTCCTTTATATAGTTCTTCTGTATAGTGTTTCCATCTTCTGTTTTCTCCTCTTGGTCTCTGAGAGCTGTAAGTGGGCGCCCGTGGGCAGTGGCAGCAGGCAGTGACCAGCAAGCAGGTGCCTGTAGGCAGCTGAGTGGCAAGTGAGTGCCCATGAGCAAGCGAGGAGCTGCAACATAAACGCAAAGAGTCATGTGTGGTTCCTGAGCCTCAGCTGGGCCACTCCTGATATATACAGTTGTCTGATTGGTTGCCTGAGTATTTGCGAAAAACAGATTGTTGGCTTCACAGAATTCTTTGCGTTGTTCTCCTGCTTCATTAACCCCACTCATCAGTTTCATGTAGATATTAAAGAGCATGGGGAATAAGACTGACCCCTGAGGAACCCCATACTGGAGAATCCACGTGGCTGAGCAATATCCCCCAAGGACCATCTTCTGGTGCAGGCCCTCTAAACAGGAATGAAACCACTGCAGTGCAGTATCGCACCACTCCCAACTCAAGGCAGTCAAGTGACTGTTGCTTGAAACCTTGGAGACATGCTGACTGTCAGAGTAAATCACACTGGACGAGATGGGCTGACAGTCTGGTCTGTTATAAGGCATCCTCCTGTATTTTTAACTATTCTACTTCTGAGTACATCAGTAGTATTTTTAAATGTTTTAGAGTTACTCAGTCTACCCTAAAGCTTTCAATGGCTTTCTTATTTTTTCCCCTTTCTCTCTAGGGTTCTCCACCTACAATGAAACATAGCATTTTGAACAAGCAAGATTCAGCTGAGAAAATGGTGCTGTCCAGTATCTGCAGACTGTATTTTGGTGCTGTTCAGAAGGCCATTGCTGTTTTCCTCAAAAGCCTTGATGCTGATCAGACCCCTGAAGTCTTCATAGCCAAGAGCAAACTGATTATTATGGTGGGCCAAAAGTTGGTTGATGCCTTATGTCAGGAAGCCCTTAAGAAAACCAATCGAAATGAGATCCTGTGTGGCAGCTGTAATTTCTGTGCCTTGCTGAAGAACTTGGCAATTGCCACCAAAAATGCAGCGATGCAGTATCCAAGTCCTGAAGCAATGAGGGAACTTCAGGATCAAGTCGATGGCCTGTCAAAGTACATACAACAGTTCCGGGCAATGATGGAATAGTGATGATTCTGCTGCTTTTCTGACAATGCATCTATTGGCAGGACTCAAAGTGGCACAAGAACTGTGTTTCATTTTTAGATGTGATAGAGAGACTCTTCATATGTTAAAGAGATATGTGTCAGTCTTCTGCCTCCTCAAGGAGGATAATAGCACTGTAGCTCCCTACTTCACAGGGGTGTTGTGAGAATAAATTTATAGGCATTTGGTAGAATATGTTGAATCCTATAGATACAAATAGTCTGGAGCTGTCCAGAAGGCCATTAGTGTATTCAGCAACAACACTGAGCAGATTCCCAAGGCCAACTTGTTGCTAACATCTTGTTGGATGAAAGTTGGCAGACCCTCTTGGGTGGTGCTAAGTTAAACATGGTTAATCACAATTCATGGATTAAGTGAGAGGATCATGTGCTCCTTTCTCCCCAGTCCTTTTGTATATGTAGCAAAGGGGACCGTGCATTCCATGAAAAAGACAGCATTCCCTTAAACAGAATTGACAATGGTCAGGCATACCCATCTAACTTGCTTTTAGATTAAATGGAGATTTACAAATGGAGGGTATAAGGCAGGAGCACACAATTCTACATGCTGTTTTTGGTTCCCAAAACCAAAAATTATTGCTGTGTATACATTAGTCATATTAGGGATTCGGAAAATAGCTTTGTAACAGTCGTCATTTTTCTGGACCACTGAAGTTCTAGCTGATACACATAAATTTTCACTGGAGGGATTGTGTTGCATCTGAGGCATGGGTGTGTCAATATGGATTATGGAGAATTGCTATCATTAGTCAAGCCACAGGTAGTTCCACATCTCAGGATTTCATTGCATCTAGGAAAAACAGATAGCTATCCTAGGAAGTATAAGAGAATGGTTTAATATTAGTCCGTAGATACTTAAAACAGTGGTTATACTCATTATGCCACTAATAAATCTTCTAATGTCTCAGAGTTACACCTTTTCCCTAAACATTGGACTACTCACACTTCATTTCTTGCCACACCATAGTGTCCCTCTTCCACTGGCAATCCTAGCCGGGGAGCCGCAGCCTTCATTCCTCTTCCCACCAGCTGCCTCTTGCAAACATGCAACAGCAGTACTCTCTATGGAATGGGTCCTCAAACTATGGCCTGCGGGACGGATCTGGCCCGCCATGGCCATCCATCCGGCTGTTTGCTGCCTGCAAGCGCCTGCTGCGAGGGCAGGGAGGTGGTGGCTCACTCACTCGGAGATGGTCTCCGAGCTAGCAAGCCACCGCCTGCCTCCCGTGCGCGCGGGGGGAGGGGGGGAGGGGGTGGCTCGCTCGATCGGAGATGGTCTCCAAGCAAGCAAGCTGCCACCGCCACTTGCCTCCCCTAGGCACACACTTGCCTCTGCCTCGCAGTGCGGGGAGTGGGGGAGGTGGTGGCTCACTAGATCGGAGGTGGTCTCTGAGCGAGCGAGCCACCACCGTGCATGCCTGACGCCGCCTCGCGCGCACCCAACGGCACCTCACTGGCCCGCGCGCCCAGGCACCCCCACCCCACCGGCCCACACATGTAGCCCCGGCCTTTCAACTGGCCCCCTATCGAAAAAGTTTGAGGACCTCTGCTCTATGGTCTTCCAATCATCCTGATCCAGACTACTGGGCCCACTTCTTCTGTCTTCCACTTGTCCTCTTCATGTACTTCTTCCTTCTGAACTCCCCACCTCCTAAGGCTTGCTTTCTTTCTTTCATACTGGGGCTATAGACTCTGCTGCATCCTGCATCCCTTTCAGTAAGTAACACTCTCCTGACTCTCCTTGTAGTTCAGCCTGGAATCCAGCTGGGCTTCATTACTACTGGCCCTTCTTCCACTTGTCATCAGGCTTTCCTTTGTGGCTTCTTTCTACCTAGAAATCACAAGTACAAAATCAGCAAACTAGAGACACAACTCTCACGAACAACTTGTAGTATAATCCCGCAAAAGTCTGTATGGCAGTGCTAGAGGAATTACAGTTAAGGCCTAGGGTAAGTATGGGTAGTCTCATCCACATAGCGAAAAGATTGCACAATGCAGAAACTTTTATGCATAGTACTGCTTCACCCATTTTTGGCTTTGTGTTGCACTGCTGAGTCAAAGTCTGGTGTGCAGATATATTAATTACTGATGATCTAGGCTTTACATGGTTCATTTCACCAACTACCCAAACAGAAAATAACAGAAATTCAGTTTCCCAATTTTTTTCCAGCTGGCATCAAGCAAGAAACTTGGGAAGCTAACATAAATGCAAACTGTCATTATTAACAACAAAATAGTAACAAAAAAATTAAGGGTATGGGGGTTAGGTAGTGGTATGCGCATTCATGCAACCATACAGTCTAAGTAATGACTGCACCAATTTATAGAGTACCTAAATTTCCTACCTATGAGGTAAAATTCTTTGAATGCAAAAATATCTCAGTGGAAAAATTAAAAAATTGGGAATAAATGCACATATCTTGCTCAAACTATCAATGAATGAAGGTTGGGGATACTCCTAGAATTAGAAAGGGGAAACCAGAACTGGACATGTACTACAAATCCTTGCTTTAAAAGGAAAGAACTACTGTAAAAATATGCCTGAAATTCTGTAACATATAGAAGAAAGCTCCACTAAATTCAGTGGGGTTTAATTCTGAATAGATATAGGATTTCCATCTTGACCTCTTATTCTTGACTATTGCTCTGAAAGTGATGTATTTCAATAGCACCACATGCAGTAATAACTTGGGTCATTATTTCCATTACAGGAACAATGTATCTCCTTCTTCCTATAGTTTGCAAAATAGATTGGGAATCATGTTTGCTTTGAGCATATCACTGTGAGGAGAACCAGAATTTATTTATTTATTTATTTATTTAAAACTTTTATATACTGTCCACTACCAAGATGTCAGAATGGTCTTAAAATAAAACAGAGTGAAGCACAGCATCCTAATAGGTTTTCTATACAATAAAACACCACATTAAAATCACCATATCTTGAATACTCTACCATGGAAAAAAAATCCTTGTATATTGGGAAACAGCATAACGTGGAAAAGACAAACGTATTTTCAGTCTTTTCTTTCTTTCTTTTCATTAAACCCATCCTTTCACCCCACCATGCATATTTTTGAGAATGAAAATAGGTAAAATACTTTTAGGTAATTGTACCAGATTTGTCATCAAAGGTAACTGTCATTGTGCTCAATCAGGCTTTACATAATCTTGGACAGGGTGCAGACTACTGCATGTTTGCTTGATTTACAGGGATTTAAACAGAGAACTTGTGATCCTTCAGATGTTTTGGACTATATGTCCCATAGCCCTCTTCCTTGCTTATTTTAGCAAGGACTAATAAGAGTTATAGGCCAAAACATCTTGCGATCCACAAGGTGCCCATCCCTGATGTAGGAAATAAGCTATTTTAATAGATCTGGCAATTCATTAATTTGGTGGCGGGGGGAGATTTTTTTTTGGAAAACTTAGATTTGAAAATCCCCATGCCTTTTATGAAAATCTTTTATAACACAGTCCCCAACTCTGTTGCTTATTTCAATAAGTCTCACATAACATGCAGTTTTTACATTTCAACATAACTTACATTATTTTTGCCAGAGTGGATGCTAGAATCCTACCACACATGTAGGCACCACTGGAAGAAGTAAGATGCTCCCAGGTAAGGTTTTTATTGTGCCCTGCCTTACTCACAGAATTTACATGGGGTCCAGAAATCTTCACTTTCCATTTTTACCTTCCTGTATCTTCCTACCACTTCCATCTTTTTTTTTCTTACCACAGAGATTTGTTAAAGAGGAAAAGATGGAACAGTGCACAATGCCTTTGCTGTACCAGTGTCGAGCTGCCCATTTGGAGACACTCATATCTCAAAACTACAAATATATTGCGCTATACCAACAAATGACAGAGCCGTGGTACACATGCTCACCATGGTACCTGTGAAGAGGCCCCCGGTGTAGAGCCGGTGGCTTATTTCCTCCTCAGAGTTGCTGCTGCTTCGTGGAGGCTGCACAGGCAGAGCTCAGTCAGGAGCAGCCTTGCTTGCCCAGCACCTGAAGCAATGCGAGCTATTTGTGCTATTCACAGATTCACATCTCCGCTACAAGTTTAGCGCATACAGTACTGGAATAGGTAGATTAGAAAAGGTGCAACTTATGAGAATACAACGAGAATGTAAGAAGACTCATGTTGGATCAGAACAAGGGTCCATTCTGTTTAAAATGTGGCCAACCAGATACCCATGAAAAAACCTATGAGCGGGGTATGAGTGGAACAGCACCTTCCCATCTATGTTTCCCAGCAACTGGTGCATATATGCATATTGATACTGGAAGCAACATATAGTCAATGAGGACTAGCAACCACTGGTAGCCTCCTCCTCCTCAATGCATGCAACCCCCTTTGGCTGGTCAGTGATATATCTGGTCTGAAGTCCTTTGGGATATAATAACAGAAATAACGTAAGCAGCACATTTTGCAGTTAGGTTCATGCTACATGTCCACTGACTCAGGCATTGCAATGCCAATACGAAACCCTTGTGGAGCTCCTTGGAAGTAAGTCCCAACCAAATGTTCGTGAATCCCACTGAGCTCAATAAAGTTTACTACTCCCAGGTAAGTGTGCCTAGAACTCCAGCCTTACCGCTTAAGAAACGTGCTTGCGATCGGCCTCTTTCTTTCAGACCAGAACTTAATTACAGACAAAGACTGACTCAAAAATACCCGTGGAGCCCAGAGAACTCTGCACGCACCAAAACAACCTCTTGCCCGAGCCACTGCCGCCCGGGCGACCTTACTGGTTGCTAGGCTACCTTAGCAACGCGAGGCGCCTACGTCACACACTGCTCCGCCTACTTCCGTTCTGCACCGGAAGGCTGCCTCGGTGACCGGACCTTCCTTTGTTTTGCGGAGACCCGGAAGTGCGGCGAGGGAGGCTTGGGGGCGAGATGGGTTGTGATGGGGGAACCATCCCGAAGAGGCACGAGCTGGTGAAGGGGCCGCGCAAGATCGAGAAGGTGCGGTGCGAGGGGAGCCTTTGGACGGGCAGCCTGGGGGTGGGGGGGTTGCTTTCGAGGCCTCCCGGGCCCAGGGACGTGGGGAGCGTGAGTCCTCTTGGTCTGGGACCTCGAAGACTCCGCCGCAAGGCTGCCATGAGGCGCGGGTCGTCTTGTAGCAAGCAATCGACTTGTGCGAGATGGATGAGCCACAGGAGAAGAGAGGGGAAAACAGAACAAAACACCACTCATTCAGTGACTCCCGGCTTCTGAGAAGTTGATAAGACTTTTGCTTTTCCTGTTCCGTTCAGTCTTTTCAGTCCCCGCCTCCCCAACCCCACCGTGTGGTTCTATCTCCGTTTATATCTTGTCTGTTTGTAATCGTGTACGTGCTTAGACAGAAAACAAGACCTAAAGCAGTGGTATTTTACCCTGTTCCTCGCCTTCTGTCTAGATATACATAGGACTGTGCCTTTACGAGAGTGCAGGCTGATGACAGTGACAGGATCCTTGGTCAATTTACCCTTACAACACTTCTTGTTTCTCGGCTGATGAAGCAGTAACCTAGGTATATGCCCCTGCTTGGTAATCGTGATCTTCCTGCACTTAACATCATTCTTTTGTAATTAAGACAGGTAAACAGGGAGGTAGAACCTGGGATGGGGCAAAGTAAAGCACCATGTCCTATCAACATATAAAGAATGCTGTTGCATGGCATTTCTCTCCTTACTATCTCTTCCTGTAGGTTTTGGTTGCTTCCTTGATGCTCAGTTATGCCTATGTGAGCTTGTAGAGTGCCTGTGCAAAGGAATTGATGGCACTAGATTTCTGTTTAGACAGACAGGATTCAGAATCTCCTCTTGAAAGTAGCAAAGCCTTAAATGAAGAATTAGATGGCATTTTCAGCCATTTCCAATTACTGATTTTCATGAATCCCTCTTTCATTATAGTGGATTTTATGGATTTGTACTAAAACAGATAATCCTCTTCTTTACATGCCTGGTTGTAAGAGTGATGAAAAATGTGACTTAGAAATCCTTTCTGCTCGTTTCAAATTAGAGTTTATCACCTGAATACACAAAGCAAAGACTGATGTTGAGTCCAAGAAAGGGTCACATAAATAGTCACAATGTCTCTTGAAGTTAAGAGCTGAATATAACAGGTGGGTCTTGAACTATTCAGAAGCTTGGTTTGTAGACTTTCTTTCTGCTCTGGAAAGAATGCTCAGCTTATGCGTAAATTACCACATGTTAAGGCACTGTGTTTATAATTTTCATTGCATGTATGATGTGTATGCACCGAGGACCAGCCAATTCTGACTTTTTGCCACCTTGTGATCAGTAAAGGTATCTACTTCTCTAGAAACCTTCTTACCTCTCTAGGCAGATAAGGGGCAGAGATATGGAATGGGGCTGTATGGAAATGGATGATAACCTGAAGTGTTATTCTGCTCCCATGAATTTGGAGGACAGTGCTAGTAATTAGTAATTATGAAGCTGCTTCCTTTAAGAAGCACAAAGAGTATACTTGTTCCTTGTGTTCAAATCTGGTATGGGGAACTGTTGGGCCACAGGCCATGTACAGTACATGGGGGTTCCCTCTCTGGCCCCCCAGCTTATTCTGGGGGGACCAGATGCCATGATCTTAGTTTTCTTAATGTTGAGTTTCAAGCCAACTTTTACACTCTCCTCCTTCACCTGCATCAAGAGGCTCTTTAGTTCCTCTTCACTTTCTGCCATTAGAGTGGTATCATCTGCATATCTGAGGTTGTTGATATTTCTCCCCGCAATCTTAATTCCAACTTGTGATTCATCTAACCCCACTTTTCTCATGATGTGCTCTGCATATAAGTTAAATAGGCAGGGCAACAGTATACAGCCTTGCCAAACTTCTTTCTCAATTTTGAACCAATCAGTGGTTCCGTGTCCAGTTCTCACTGTTGCTTCTTGACCCATATATAGGTTTCTCAAGAGACAAATAAGATGGTCTGGTACTCCAATCTCTTTAAGAACTGCCACAGTTTGTTGTGATCCACACAATCAAAAGGCTTTAGCATAGTCAATGAAGCAGCCGTAGATGTTTTTCTGGAACTCTCTAGCTTTCTCCATGATCCAGCATATGTTGGCAATTTGATCTCTAGTTCCTCTGCCTCTTCGAAATCCTGCCTGTACATCTTGTAGTTCTTGGTCCACATACTGCTGGAGCCTAGCTTGTAGGATTTTGAGCATCACTTTGCTAGCATGTGAAATGAGTGCAATGGTGCAGTAGTATGAACATTCTTTGGCATTGCCCTTCTTTGGGATCGAAATGTAAACTGACCTTTTCCAATCCTGTTGCCACTGTTGAGTTTTCCAAGTTTGCTGGCATATTGAGTGTAGCACTTTTACTGCATCGTCTTTTAAGATTTTGAATAGCTCAGCTGGAATATTGTCACCTCCACTAGCTTTGTTGTTGCTCACACTTCCTAAGACCCATTTGACTTCACATTCCAGGATGTCTGGCTCGAGGTCAGTGACCACCCCATCATGGTTATCAGGGATGTTAAGCTCTTTCTTGTATAGTTCTTCTGTGTAATCTTGCCACCTCTTCTTAATCTCTGCTGTCTCTGTTAGGTCCCTGCCATTTTGGCCCTTTATCATGCCCATCTTTGCATGAAACATTCCCTTCATATCCCCAATTTTCTTGAAGTGATCTCTGGTCCTCCCTATTCTATTGTTTTCTTCTATTTCTTTGCACTGTTCATTTAGGAAGGCATTGTTATCTCTTCTAGCTATACTCTGGAATTCTGCATTCAATTGGGTGTATCTTTCTCCCTTGCCTTTTGCTTCCCTTCTTTCCTCAGCTATTTGTAAAGCTTCCTCAGACAGTCATTTTGCTTTCTTGCATTTCTTTTTCTTTGGGATGGTTTTAGTTGCTACCTCTTGTACAATGTTCTGAACTTCCTTCCATAGTTCTTCAGGCACTCTGTCTCTCAGATCTAATTCCTTAAATCTATGTGTCACCTCTACTGTATATTCATCAGGGATATGATTTAGGTCATACCTGAGTGTCCTAGTGCTTTTCCCTACTTTCTTCAATTTAAGCCTAAATTTTGCAACAAGAAGCTCATGATCTGAGCCACAGTCAGCTCCTGATCTTGTTTTTACTGACTGTGTAGAGCTTCTCCATCTTTGGCTGCAGAGCACATAGTCAATCTGATTTCTGTGTTGACCGTCTGGTGATGTTCATGTGTAGAGTCTTCTTTTGGGTTGTTGGAAAAGAGTGTTTGCTATGACCATCGTATTCTCTTGACAAAATTCTACCAGCCTGTGCCCTGCTTCATTTTGTATTCCAAGGCCAAACTTGCCTGTTATTCCGGTTATCTTTTGACTACCCTACTTTAGCATTCCAGTCCCCCACGATGATAAGGACATCATTTTTGGGTGTTAATTCTAGAAGGTGTTGTAGGCCTTCATAGAAGTGGTCAACTTCAGCCTCTTCAGCACCAGTGGTTGGGGCATAGACTTGGACTACTGTGATGTTGAATGGTTTGCCTTGGATTCTAACTGAGATCATTCTGTCATTTTGGAGATTGTATCCTAGTACTGCTTTTTCTCCTCTTTTATTGACTATGAAGGCTACTCCATTTCTTCTGATGGATTCTTGCCCATAGTAGTTTACCTGATGGTCATCTGAATTAAGTTCACCCATTCCCGTCCATTTTAGTTCACTGATTCCTAAGATGTCAATGTTCAGTCTGTCATCTCTTGTTTGACCACATCCAGCTTGCCTTGATTCATGGATCTTAAGGCAGTGATCCATGAAGGGGAGAAAATTGGTAACTGGATGTTATTTGAAAATGTTGCCAAATGAGTCAGCCCTGCATATTCTGAATAGACATGCAGAAGTCTTGCCCTGCTTATTTCTGAGAAATCTTAAAATTGATAATCTCTTTTGGCCATGCCTGCTTTGCTTTTTGCCCCACACCCAGATGAATTGTGGCTCTGAGACCTTTCTTAGCTTGGAAGTCAACCTTTGGGCTGAAAAAGGTTCCCCATCCCTGGGTTAAAGCATGTTGAACTTTCAGTATTTTGAGGGAGTTGTGTTTCACATACAAAGTATAACTGGAGATAGATGCACATGTTTTGACTTTAATAGAAAAAAATGGATGTTTCTGAAATTTATAAAATTTTATATGTTCCTTAGGTTGATAAAAATGCCGAATTAGTGGCCCAGTGGTACTACTGCACTCTAAGTCAAGAAAAATTAAGCCGGCCTATAGTAGCATGTGAACTTGGCAGGTAAGATTGCAATTTTAAGTTCATTTTCAATGAAAGAATCCAAGTCTCTAAATAAATTCAAGTCATTAAATGAACCAATTTTTCATTTATAGGTTATATAACAAGGATGCAGTCATTGAATTTTTGCTGGATAAGTCTTCTGACAAAGTCCTCGTGGAGGCTGCATCCCATATTAAGAGTATTAAGGTAAAATTGCATGTTTATGACCTGTATTAACATTTTAGGTATTGGAGTTTGTATCCATTAGTCTTGATTCAGAGAAAGTTAATTCTGATTAATTCCTTAAAATCTCATTGATTTTAATGAAACTTTGATGCCCCTATTTACTGTATCATGTGCTTGTCTTTTTTAAATTGCGGCATACTTTAGCTACAATCTCTTCTGTATAACAAAAGTTCTGCTTCTTTGACACCTTTCTTGTACGTAGGTTATTGGCCTACTCACATCTTTCATTCCACCACAATTACTCCTTCTGTCATGGTGCTCCTTATGCCTGAAATTACCTCTCGACTATACATGTCATTTTCTCCTCAAAGTCCTCTGTCCTTATCAGTGGTTCTCAAACTTTTGTTCATCTTGATAGTCATCCAACATTTTTGGTTACTGGGATCCTGCCTCTCTCCCAAGTAATTTGCTGACTTTGTGCTGCTCTTCTGAAACTAAATCAGGGTAATTCCCTTTAAATTGCTAAGCAGTATGTGTACTTTCACAGTTGTACTATGCTTTAATGTTGCTTCAGGTGACTGACAACTTCTCCCAGGTGTTTTGGACTCTTACTTCCAGCATTTTTGGCCATTGACACTGCTGGCTGGGGTGGTGGGAGTTGAAATTCAGAATGTAAAGAGGATGGCAGGTGGAAGGGTACCTTTTCCTCTTCTGCATTATCCTGTGATTCATCCTTATTTTCTTTGTCCTGTCTTCATTTTTTCCTCCCTGTCTTTACTTGAAAGTCATATCGTCATGATAGTGCAATTTTTATTTTCTTCCTGATTCTTATTGAATAGCAGTATCAGAATTGTGCAATATAAATTCAGTATGCTGTGCCTATGCAAACCTGTAGTTTAACAAGTTTAATTTCTATTGGTCTGTTACAACTGAGTAGTTCTATGCATAGAAAAGTGATTGATTCCCATAGCAGTTTTTTAAAAGAACTTTTCAGTCCAGAGTAGAATTTTGATTCTAAATATTTCATATTGATATAGAATGATAGAGCGAAGAACTGTATTGTTTCAGGAGATCATTTCACCTGATTTCAGTTATACTTTTTACATGCAATAATCTCTTTCCTTTCAGAATGTCATAGAATTGAATCTGACAGACAATCCAGCTTGGACCGGTGACAAAGGAAACACAAAAGGGGATAAATATGATGACATCCAGAGTGCACAATTTATTTGTCCTATAGTTGGGTTGGAAATGAATGGGAGACATCGGTTAGTATTTTCTGTTTGATTAAATGTAAGAATAATGAATGGTTTTTCATTCTGTAACTAATTTTATAGTTTGTCAGCTATATGAGGACCTCTGGCGTAGGCCAGTTTGTCATCTGCATTTATAAATTAGAGGCTAGGTCTGCGTCTTAGGGTAGAGTAAAGATGCAAGAGTGGTTGTATCTCCATCACCGTATTTTATAGTAAGATCTTTAGGCAGTGGTAAGCTTTGCTTTGGGTCCCTTGTTGATGATCTTCAATTTACTAGATAGTCATCCCATCCTAGAACATCTAATGTAGGTAACAAAAATACCCCAATGTATTTATTTAATTAAAGCATTTTTGCTTGGTGCTTCAGCTAAAAAGTTGCCCAGAGCAGCTTAAGAGCAAAACGAGTCAGTTGTTGTCTGCTGCCTTATATTCTGTAAAACACACACACATTGTAAGGGCAGTGGAAGAGTTAAAAATTTACACAGACTGAAAAATAAAATATCAAGGTATAAGTAACACAGACTAAAACATACCAAATGTTAACGTGCCCCTAATTCTATTTTTGTTTGAATCTGATCCCCCAAAGCCAGATCAAGTAAAATACTTCTATCAGACCTTTAGATTTTGGTGAATTTCCAGAAAGATGAATGTTACATAATTGCAAAATAATAATTGAGAATACCTGAATATGCTTCATATATGGCCACCTCAAGAAGGTGTTACTGGTTGATCTTTCTGATCAATATGGAAAGAAGCACTTTATTTATTACATTGGTCCTACATCTTGGCAAGTGTGCAAAATTCTGCGCTGGAAGTTTAACTCAGTATCAACATCAGGTTTTATCTGGTGCCAGAAAGAACTCAGTGCAGGCACCACTTGAGCTTCTCTGGGATGCTTATGCCAAAGCAGAAAAGGCCGTCTTCTTAGTATCAACCGACCTCACTTTCTTTGGCAAGGTCTGCTAAAGAAACTGTTTGAGGAACATTTTAGGGTCTGGGCTTGCTAATCTGGACTCAAACCATTTAAGGCTTGAAGTTTTCATCCCAGCACTTTGAATAAGGCCTGGGCATGGACTTGCAGTAATGTGGATGGAAAAGCGCTGGCATAATTTGATCGTGGTGGCCAGTCCCTTGCTGCCCTTTTTTGGCCTGTCTGAAGTTACCAGGCCAATTTCAAGCATAGCCCCACATGTAATGTGTTGCAGTGATCCAAGCAAGAGGTTACTAGTGCTAGGCTGTCTCTGTCTAGATAAGAATGCACTCGATATATCAGCCTAAGCTGATTCAAGATTTTCTCGTCAGCAAGTCCACCTCTGCCTGTAGTAACAATGCTGGATTCAAGAGCACAGTATGAACCTGATCCTTTAGGGGAATTCCAGTCCTTTCAGGACATGTTGAACATCACTCAGTCAGGCAGGCAATCACTTATCAACACTACCTCTGTCTTGAATGTATTGAGTCTCAGTGTATAGGCCCTCATCCAGTCCATGAGCTCGCCAAGGCAGTGGTTCAGAACAGCCATTGCCTCAGTTTGATTTAATGAAAAGAAGATGGGTACGATCTGCCCATCAATGACACTTCAGTCCACAACTCCAGGTAACCTCCCCCAGCAGGTGTAGGCAGGTTTTGAACCCTGTAGGGTAATAGAATAGAGTCTTGTCCTGACTGTACTCTGGGCATCTCTCCTAATGGAACTTACACTAATCACGTTACCGATGTTGTGATGGAGTAGGCCAACTTTATTTTCAAAGCAAACTTGTCACAAATTTGCTTTTCATGGCCTATATGGTAGCAGTCCATGAACCTCTTGGAAACACTTTGCTGGAAAGTATTGAGAAGAAGAAGTGGTAGAAAAGAGCTCCCTTTTGCCACTATCACTGCTACAGATTAGGCTTGATAATAAGCTCTCTGTTATTTTCACTCAGTGGTAGCATGGGTATTCTTTTACCTGTGTTCTACCTGTCTTTCCTTTTACATCATTGCCTTCACCTCAGGAGGATTCCAAGGAACTTGCCAGGTTTTGCTCAGAGGGAGAGGATTCTCGGATGCGATCATACCAATTCAGTCACCTCTGAATTGCACAGAATGCCTGGTCATACCAGCAGGAAAATTCCCCTGAGCCTTCTAGAATCCAGTGTAATCCATTAGCCTCACTGGGTGAATCCATTTAACGGGTTCCTCATCCTTGCACTCTAAAGCTTAATAGGAAGTGATATGCTGTGATGATGCAATAGCTGTTAATTACCCCACTTTCCACTTGTGGTTTGGGGTAGAAAAGAAGTAGGTTTCATTATTAAATGTTTTGAATACATCACATGTATGTTGACTGAGAAGTATATCCCCCTATATCCTTTCGTGTTTATTCCCAAGAAAATGTGCACAGCATTTAGGCCAAAATCCTAACACATTCAAGATGTTATAAGATGAAATCAAATTCATGTCTTTGTGTGCTTATTTGTCAAAGGACAATTTTCATACCTAAAGATGGGAAATATCTGAATGTATGCTGATTCTCAGCATTATATTATTTGATCCCTTTCTCAAAAATAAAAAAGTCAAGGTGTTGTACAGCAGGAATTAAAACACATGATTACTTAAAGCTATTTAAAATAGTTACACTATTTAAAATGCTGAGTCCCAGTAGAACAATTAAGAAGATCCATTTTTAAGGATCACAGCTTAACAAGAGACCACCCTATAAAACTTCTATAAAAGTAGGCATATACTATGAATGGGTGTGCTTATTTTTATTTGCTATTTGAAATGGAATGGCAATTACTACAATAATAAATGCTGCACTGTGCACAGATCTTTTTTAATGTGCTGCCTGGGTTAACCACTTGAGGGCATTTTGGAACACAGATTAAATTGCTGCATGGTGAGGCTTGTGTCAGTAGCAAATTAAAGTTAGAGAGTTTTAAAGTCTGTTTAGAAATTCTTGATCCAACCTAGTGTGTAGTAAGCTGTAGTAAGCTCAGAAGTAAGCTGTACTGAGTTCAGTGGGATATATTTCTAGGTAAGTGTGTATAGGAGTGCAGCTTTAGTCATTGATTAAGTTAGATCGGGGCCTGTGTGTGTTTAACATGTTTTTATCCTCTTCTCTTCTCTTGCATCTGCAAGGTTTTGCTTCCTGCGCAACTGTGGATGTGTATTCTCTGAACGTGCTCTCAAAGAAATTAAAACTGAAACATGTCATAGAGTAAGTTTTCTTCTTTCCTTCCCATTCTGCCATAAGTTTGTGCTGAATTCCATAGTTAGATATGCTTACATCCTACTGACTTTAAAAATGCTGTAAGTTTTAGGGCTATATTGAAGCTGTGAATTAAGGAAAATTCATCTGATTTCTCTTGATTCATCTTTCAGCCTTATCTGTATTAAAACAGAGGATTGGGCAGGGGGTTAGCTATAGAGTCTTCAGGCTTCTGTTAAATTTGTTGTTGTTTTCTTATGTGCCATCAATTCATCTTTGGCTTATAGCTATCCTACAGAAATGCTTCGAAAAATGTTTCCTGCATCACTAACCATCACTAAAATACAGTTGCTGAAAGATTCTAAGAAATGATGGTATTTTTGAGAACAGAAGAGAAAATCCTGCTTCCCCTCTGACATCCATGCTGTCTGCAAAAGCCTAGCAGAACAATGCATTTACAAATAGGCTAACATTAAACTGAGTCTAGTGAGTAGGAGAGACCTCCTGAAACAAGGCTGACTTTGGTGGGCTCCTGATCTCCAGAAGAAGGGAATTCCGTAGATAGTTCATTTGGCATTGTTACCACTTAACCAAATGTGAGCTGGTTCAACTCCATAAAGGAAGCCACAGTCTTGGGTTGGCAAGAGTTAAGCAGGTCTATCAAGAACAGAACATTTTGGAGGTCACCGTAATTTGAAGACAACTTGAGAGCATGTAACAGTGACAATGGACAACTTGATGTACACAAGATACTCGGCACTGTGAAGGTGCAACGTATTTTTATTGTGACCCAAAAGTTTAGTAAACAAGAGCAGGCGGGCACTTGTTAGCAGCATTGCTATTTACCCTGCTTAGTCAAGGCTTGGTAAAAGCACCGTTGGCAGCAACTGTTGCTGCAAGACTTCTTGGGGACATCTCTGCCAGCTCTGTACATTTGGGTCCTGCGGTGTTTGCCAATTCTTCCTGGAAAAACTGCTCCATCAGCTTTCGAAGGTTGCTACAGATTCTCAGTCAGATTGAAGTTGGGGTTTGAATAGGCTATTTTAAGACTTTCAGGTTCTTGCTTTTAAAGCATTCTGGTCATCCTTTGCCTGTGTGTTTAGGTCATTGTCCTGCTGGAAGGTGTACCTTTGCTCCAGTCCCAGATATTTACGGCCAAGAAAACATCTCTCCACAATGTGATGTTGCCACAACTGTGATGCTTCATCATGGGGATGGTGTTCTCAGGGCAATGAGCACTGTTGACTTTGTGCCGTACATAACATTATAGAGCGAGCATGACCGAAAAGTATAGCTTTGGTTTCATCAGGCATGAGAATCTTTTTCCACATGTTTGCTATGTCTCCCATATGCATTTTTGCAGATTCCAAACTACTTCTCACAACTTACCCATAAAGCCCAGCTTTGTGGAGTTCCGAGATGATAGTTGTCCCAAGGATAGTTTCTCTCATTTCAACTGGAGACTCTCTGGCACCTTCGGAGTTACCATTGGCTTATAGGTTGCTTCTGTGACTATTGTCTTCCTTACCAGTCTTCAAGTCTTGGTGGACAGCCTTCTCTAGGCAGAGCTGTGATCAAGCCAAATTCTTTCGATTTCCTCACAGCAAATAGGGAGAATATATATGTAACCAAGTGCCTTTTAAAAAAAAGTTTTGTACCATACTAAAAATATTTTGCACCTTCATAGTGTAGTGTTTCTTGTATGTAACAAGTAGTAACAATGCCAATTAAATCCACTTGTGCTCCAGGTTGTAACGCTACCAAATGTGGAAAACTCAAAGGCAGATAAATACTTCTGCTAGGCACTGAACCTGTCTGGCTCTTATACCATCTAAGTTACTGTTGCAAGATGGATCAGCACTGGCTAAAGCAGTGGCCAGGGACTGGTTGATGTCAGGGGGCAAGGCCACATCACTGGCAACATCTAACCAACAAAAGACTTAATGGGTGTGGGTATAATTCATCCCCTTACCCTGAAAATATTTCCCACCTTTTGTGTGTGGGCATAAAATTCTAGAGTAGTATCCCTGAATTCGTAATTAGAAAAATGCGTACACATCACTAAGTTTCAGGAGAGTGTTTTATTCAGAAATGAATCTGTTGCATTTAGTCTGCTCCCCAACTTGTGGACCATTAAGCAAATAATTTATCCTGTATTTGAGTTCTTGCTTTATGGAGATGGGTGAGAGTGTTTCTTCTGAAACTTTTTGGTAGCCACTGTGGGCTAAGCAAAATGGGAGAGGCTGTAGAAGTTAAACATGATGTTTCGAAGTGCTGCTTCTGCCACCATAACAAAGGTTAGCATGCAAAGTTCTGGCCCCCATTCATTTTCTGAAGGTGACAAATACCCTAAAAGTTGCTGCATTAAGAGAAACTAAGCCTATCTCACAAAAATGTGCTCACAGATCAAATAGTTCTGCAAGACTCAGGAAAGGGAGACATGCTCCATGCTCCATGTGTGTACTATATTTTCCAAGAACTGATAGTGAGTCTTGAAACCTGTGGGAAATACTTTCCTTATCCAAAATGTTTTGATCGGTTGAACTCAGTTACAAAGCTGCTTAATACTAAGGTTATTTTTTGTTTGTTTTTGGTTGTTGTTGCAAGTGAGGGGGACTCCAAAAGCACTTCTGCACTTGATCTTAATAGCAAGCAGGTCCCTCAGGCCTTAAGCCATTTAGCGTCTCCACGGTTAAAACCTTGAATTGAACCTGGAAAACATTTGGCTACCATTATAAATCTTTCAGTGTTGAAGTGAAATGGTCACAATACCATGCACTTGTCAGCAACTTAGCTACTGTATTGCACACCAATTGAAGCCTCCAGACTATTTTCACAGATAGACCCCACGTAGAGAGAGTTGCAGTAGTCTAGCCATGATATAACCGAAGCATGGATAAGTGTTCCCAGATCAGACTAACTCGAGGCTGGTCACAGCTGGCACATTGGATGTACCTGTGCAAATGCATTCCTTGTGACCACTGCCACCTGAAGATCCAGGAACCGCATAGGGTCCATTTGCAACATGGAAAGCTGCCTTTTGCAGACCATCAGTCAATCCATCAGCTTAGAATAGAAGGTGGACATACACATACAACAGAATATCGTATTTCATTACTTCTCCTCTCCTGCCTCTGGGCATGCACCCTGGTAGGCACCTTTTTCCCCTTTCCTTTTAAGCAGGAGCCATATTTTCAGATGATCTAGGTCTGCAGTGCAACAAGACTTTGTCCACATGATTCATACCTTGAGCAAAAGATGATTTCATTGTCTCTCCTCCATTATGACCGGCAAAGTGGCTTTGAATGAGCCCTTGCTTTTGCCCAGAAGTGGCAAGCATGTGGCCCATCAGAGGGTTGCCTGTATCGGTCATCATTCTTCACCAGTGGCTATGCTTGCTAGGGCTGATAGGGCTATAGTTCAGCAGCATCTGGTAGGTCACCCATTCTCTACCCCTGCTTTAGCCAGCTACCTGTGTCCTGTAATCATGTATGGAGAAGAGCAGTTGGGATGTTTAGTAAGGAGAGGCTTTGCCAAAGCCCCTGTTGCTATTGCAGGAAAAGAAGACCGATGGGCCCTTTGTGTGCAGCTGTCTCAGCTTGGAAGAAAGTGACTTAGGTGTATTGTTTCTGTCGTGTGGAGGTGGTCCTTTGGCCTACAGGGACTATGCTGGGAGCCACATGGGACACTTAGGGTTCCAAACTTCACCTTTGCATTCCTGTCCCACTGTCTCTGGCTTGTTAAGATATGTAATAAATTAGTTTGTTTAATGAGTTCATGAACTCCAACTGGACCTTTAACTACTGCAGGAAATTTCTTTGGTAATGATCAGGGCCTTCCCAAAGTGCTTTTCATCCTCAGGCAAAGGACCTGATTCCCATTCCATGTACGGAATATAACTGGATTAACAGCTTCAACACAGGTGATGGGGTGGGGTTGTCCACTGTCCTGGAAAGCAGTGAGCCAGTCGCAGGGAAGCTGTGTGACACACACAGCTCTGTTCTCCAACAAAGGGGATGGCTGGGAGCTTAAGAAAAAAATGTCAGGGAGTTGCTTGCACCTGTCCCCCAGCATCTGTTGCCTGAGGTGGTCACCTCTCTTTGACTAATGGTAGGGCCAGTCCTGGTAATGATAACACTCAAATGGAACTGCCACCTAGAAGGCCAGTAGTGGAGTTGGCAGCTGGAATTTGCTGGCAGGAACTCCCATATATAAGGAAGATATTTCTAAAATTCAGTATTTGTTACCCTTGCATCTGTTTGTCTGGAGATTTGCCCTGCCAGGAAAGTCAGGACCTTGCACTCCATATGTAAGGGCATCATATGTTGATTCTGCATCTTATCACATGCAGAGCTAACAAAATATTTCTTGGCTCTGGTAACTGCTTGGTGAGTTCATAGGAGGGGTCATTCAAATATTCCCCATTTCTCAGAAATGTACAAGACACAGTCTTCCTTTACACACTGCCAATGTGGCCTTCCCTGAACTGGTGCTGTCAAGATGTCTTGGCCTACCATTGTTGACTGTGGGTTTTGGGAATTGTAGTCCTGCGCATCTAGAAGGCACCAGGTTGCAGAAGAATGTATGCATTTTTTTAAAAATTGTCATACTGGCTTTCAGTTTCTAGAACCTCCTAATTCTGAAAACTGTATAGTAGCCTGAAAATGTTTTAAATAAATGTTCACAATTTTGTGGCTCAGAATATTCCATAAGAACACTATTGGTAGCAGCAGCATGCAAATCCAATCTTAAGACTAGTAGAAGTAGTACTACAACAAGGGGACCCTAGCCAGCAGAAATGGTACTTTTCTCTCCGAACTCGCAGGGTACTTCTGAGGATAAATGGTGGGGAGGAAAAAGCTAGGTATTTAGTATGAGCTACTTAGAAGAAAAGTATGATACAAATGAAAAAATCTTTCCTGAATGTGACATTTAACACTTCATAGCTTTCGGAGACAAGTCAATGTCTCATGAAATGGACCAAGTCCTTAAGCTATTCACTGGTTGGT